TAGATTTCCGAAAGAATCTCACTGAGTGTTTGAGTTTTCAGTGGCACTTCCAGAGGAGATACCAGAAATATCAGGTGTAAAAATCCATCATTCCATGGCCAATGCAATTGCTGAAGAAGATATTGCTGTCATATGGTTCCTTGTTATACAAAGCTAACATCATACAGAGCCATCCCCTTTTGATTTAAATATTATGCTAGCTATGGGGGAAGGGTGTTATGTCTACCAAGGACATATGGTTGTGGTTTTAGAAGGCACCTTTTTTTTTTTTCCTTGTGGTCTGGCTTAAATTATTCCATTGAAGTGCTCCTCTATAGGCTTTTTTATTCCACAGAGACATTAAACTCTTACTATGTGCCAGGCACTGTTTTAGGGACTGAAGATTCAGCAGAAAAATCCTCACCTTCTTGAAACTTATGTTCTAGTGGGGAAAGACAGACAGTAAACAGTAAACAAACATTAAAACAACATAAATCATGTAGTAATAAAAATTTTAAAAATAGCGTATAGAAATGAAGTACTACTGGGAAAAAGAAAGCAGAAAAGGGAGATAGGGAGGGTGCAGTGCATTCTGGCTTCCTTGTCGGTTATCAAGGTCTGGACTATGACCAGCTGCGTGTCCACAGCAGCCCTGGACCCATCTTGATTGGACTGCTTTCCAACGCTGTCCAAAAAACCCCAGAGTCTTTGTGGCCTCCTCTCTCTCCTCTGTATGCTCCATTTTGATTCTTGCTTTCATGCCTTTTTAAAAGGCTTCCTATGAAGACTTCTTTGACAATTCTAGCCTCCCCTGGCCCCCCTATATTCTGGAGATCCGGGGGGACCATCCCCCCTCCAGAACAAAAGGAAACAAAACAGAATACAATCACCCCCACCCCACATAAATACACATGTGTGGTATTTTTGTTTTCAGGTTAATAGTCAATTAATGTGTATTTGTTTTATTTGTTTATTGTGTTACACACCCCGCTTTTAGAATTTAAGGTCTTTGAGTTTGATGTGTTTGTTTTTGCACATGTATGGGACTTGCAAGCAAAGCATTCTTGATGGTATATTTATTAAGAAGAAATACAAAAGTCAGAAGATATGATCTCCCAGCCTTTGGACAACTTCAAATATATTTAGGGAGATACACGGTGCTCTCCCTGAGGTAAGAAGACCGTGGAAAGACAGCCTATAAAACCAAATACTTCATGGCATGGTATAGCAAGTGTCTTTCACATTTTTTTTTTTTTCAGGCTTTTACCCGCAATGAGAAATGGATTTTACATCATGACTCAGTATATAATAATTGCATACATTATCTTTGTGTGTGTATATGTGTACAACCTAAATTTTACAAAATACTTACATTTTACAAAACAATGCTTAATTTTTATATACAATGCATGCAGATATTTTCTATTCTGTTCTTGTTTTCCAAAGATGCTGACGGAAACCCTCTGAATTGATTTTATAACCCACCAACAGAACATGACCCACAGCTTGGAAAACACTGGTGTAGCCAGCTGGTGAGTACAGGGAAGTGTGTGGATCAGAGAGAGTGTGGAGTGGTAGGAATACAGGGAAGTCTGTCTTGAAAAGATTGTACTTGATCTATCTCTTGAAGGAAATGTCCTTTTGGGATTATTGGGGTCTAAGACAGTGTTGATGCTGAGTTAACATAACAGTATGAACAAGGAAGGCGCAGAGGTTGGAATAAGTAGTAAGTTTACAGGTTAGTGAGAACAGAATTCTGATCCCTTTTTTATGATTGCTTTTATAGATTATGGAAATGTAAGAGTGATAACTAAAGGACTGAAAAAAGATTTAAAGGGCATATATTTGAGAAAAATATTAATATTTGTAATTGAGAACAGCCTAATGGGAGAGCAGATCTATGGCATTTAATAATCAACAATATTATTTGCATTAATATTCCATTTTCCAAAGTTTTTACAATCACAATTATCATTATATGGGCATAGGGGAGGTTATTTCCAGAAAAGGAAACTGATGCATAAAGGCAATACATTGTCAAGGTACACTTACTTGAAGTGACTTTATAGCAGATAAGGTTTAGAACATTTTAGCTTATGTTTCAATTGTGGATATATCCTTATGTGCATTACTGTGTTATCTCCGGGATTCCTTCGGAGTTCCTATGATTTTTGGATTAAGCTGTATTTTAATACTCAGCTTTTCACCTTCTGTTCTGTCTTCAAGAATACTAACACACGTTATATACCTTAACCCTAACCCAAACTTAGCTGACCCCAAGAGCTCAGAAGATAGGCACAAATGTCCAATGAACAAAACTAGAACATTGAAACAATGATACCTTATTCCAATCCATCTGTAAAGATTAGCACGCCCCTCTCCTCAAGCGTGTAACTTGTTTGCCTTTGATGGCCTTAATTTGTTGCTGGGCTTTATTTCATTTTTTGCAGAGAATTGAGTGATGGTGGGGGGCAAAGTCTGGAGGAAGGAAACCTGGGATAGAAGTCTATTTCAGAGCACATGAGTTGTTCAGGGAAACTAAAAAATGAGAAGCCAAGTGTAGATGTACAGATCACAGTGGCTTCCTCAGTCTCCTAGAGCTCTTTATATAATATTTCCTTCTGTCTGAGGGGAGGGCTCTGTCCCACCATCAGCCATCTTTTGCTCTTGCAGTAGGTTTTCTCTTTCACCTTCAGAAATGGTGGGAAAAGGGAAAGAAAAGGTCCAGGGCAGCAGGATTCCTGTGAAATTCCACACCTTGCACGGAACATAGGTATTGGAGTCCTTTAACTTTACCTAAATTTTGTTTCTAACATCTTGATTTTAGTATATCATCTTTGCAGCAACAGAATTGGAACTATCCTCTCTGCATCAAATTTGACTAAGGCTAAAAATAGATGAGCGAGGTCGAGCATGGAAGTGGCCCAGCTTCTCCTTCCTCCTTTTCATTTTGTTTCAGTTTGAATGAGGAGGTGGCTCACACAGTTAACCAGAACAGCAGCTGGCTGGATGTCTGTGTGCTTTTAGCCAATTAGGATATTTTTGTGGGAAAGTTTCCAATTCTGAAGTCTCAGTTATGGAGAGGTGGGAGGCAGCTGGTGTGAATGTCTGTCTGCAGGGTACATGCGCATTTACTCTGATCCAATATGGCATGACAGCCATGTGCTTATTCAAGAAAACAATTATCTCAATTTTCTTGTACTCTAATCTAAAACATCTTCATCTCTATCATTTAAAAAAAAGAAAAAGAAAAGCCAAAGCTAATGTCACCCAAATATTTTGGGATCTCCCAACCACCTCTAGTGAGGCATATTAGTAATGAAGTTAAACAAAGTCTGAAAGGGCAACGATAACTCCTTATCTTCGCTACTCCACTGTCCTCCCCCTGAAGTCTCCATTTCATTAACTACCATCATCATTTCCTCTGTTTGTCAGCATTTCTTGACTTCACTCTCTCCTTCATCCCTTGTCTTCCAGTGGCCACCAAATCACTAGCAAGCTGTTGTGGTAAGGAAGGTACAGGGAGCACATGGACACAGAAGACTTCCTAGGGAATTGATGATTTAGCTGAGACTTTAAGGTTTAGAAAAATGTAGCCAGAAGAAGAGTGCTTTAGGTATTTTCCATTCAACAAATTTTTACTGCACATTTACTGTAGGTCGGGCTTTATGCTACACTCTGCAGAGTTAGTTAGAGGATGGACACAATCCCTGCTCTCCTAGTATTAATATTTAGAGAATGTTGAGGTAGGGGAAAAATAAACATGAAAGTATAAGAACAAAATATCTTTGTATCAATATAACTATCAATAAAGCCAATTAGAGTATTTTTGTGGGAAAGTTTCCAATTCTTAAGTCTCAGTTATGGAGAGGTCACTATCCTCTACTATGTATTAGGGAGTTAAAAGTGTCATCATTTTTCCTACAAAACCATCTAACCAGCAATTTCTTCTGAGTATCCAGGGCTCTTCCCTGCTGCTCCAGGCTCTGCCACGGCTGCCCAGAGCTCAATCAGGATCCCCCCACTAGGTGAACGTGGGGAGGCTACTTGCCCCTATACTTTCCTGTCTATATCTCTGTGCTTCACAACAGGGCCACAGAGCCTTTACTGAGGAGCTGGGTTAATTACACATTACACTATAAAAGGACGACACTGTAAAATTGTCAGCTCAAATAGTCATTCCTCCATAGTTCACGGGAAAAGAACCTAATTTATACATTCAAAAGAAATTATGCTAGCTGTTCCCTGAAGTGGCAGAGACAGACAAGATCCATCTATGAAGGTTTCATTTGAGCGAGAGGGAAATAGACAAATATGTAAATATATATATTGCCAACATAATTAGAGGTGGACAAAGGAAATAAACAGGGTGATACTTCTGATAGCTCTTCTGGGAAGGTGTCTCTCTGATATCACTGTGAATGAAGTGATATATTTGAGCTGAGACCCGAGGGATGGGAAGGAGGTGGTCCGTGAATAGAACTACAGAAAATGGAGAGGAAGCTCTTCCCAGGGGTCCTCTGTCCTCAGGTAATTTCCTGTCTTCACAGGTGTCACCTAATCTCCTCTTGCTCACAACCTGGCCATCTATCTTTCAGGACAGCTCAGTGCGACCCACAGGAATGGGTTTCCTCCCAGGCAGGCCTGCTTTATAGTCGCAGTGTTCTTCGTTACCTCCCTGGATGGCGGGTCCTGTTTGAATGAACTGTTTGCACCACCACCGTGAAGGCTTCCCATTCAGGACCCTGCTGTTCAGCCCATTGTCTAGGAATATTTCTTTGATTACTGTTATTGAATGTGGCATAGCCTTTGAATGGATTATTAATCCGAAATCCTTTGTTTTCAATTCCTATTCGTTACCTGCTTGATTTCCCAGACCATATTGTTGTAAGCCTCAATTGCACTAAGTTCAGGAGGCCACCGAATAACTTGACACGCCGTGGTCTTAGCGTTTGCCGCCATCTCTAGAAGGGCGGCTCGCAGACGCCAGGCAGCTCCGGAGGCCGGGCGCGGGCGCCAGGATGACGTCACCGCGGCGGGCGGCCCGCGCGGGCCGTGACGTCACACGGGCGGGCCTGCCCGCCGTGAGGTCACCGGGTGGGCGCGGCCAGGCCGAATCCCCAGTGTCGTCACGGGAGGGGGCGGGCCCAGAGCGTGTCAGCGCAGCCGAATCAAAACAAGCCGGACACCCGCCTTTTCCCTCCTGCTTGGGAGCGTCTCTCTCGCGCCCCGGGCCCGCGTCGCCCGCGCGGCTGCGAGCCTCGGTGGCCGCGCGCCGGCTCAAAGAAGCCGGGGAGGGCGCGGCGGCCGGGATGGCGCGGCGCGGGCCGCGCGGCTAGACGGGCGTCGAAGGAGCCGCCGGCCCGCGCCCTCCGTCCT